AAAAATAGACAAAAAAAATTTTTTTTTAAATATTTTATTTCGTTTAATTTGATTGGTTGACCTGAATTTTATCAGGTCAGATCATAAGCTTGACCTGACCTGATGTTAACCTGAAAATTAGTCTACCTGACCTGGATTTTTCAGGTTGGGTCAGATTGGGTCACAGGTTGACCTGACCTGATTCGGAGCTCTAGTTATAATCTATTAATTATTATGTCCTAAAGATGGTGTCTGCTTTCCCTTTCTGTGACTTATTGGTTAGTAAATATGGATGAGGTATGCGCCTATTTAGTTGCTTTCAAAATACTAAAATGGTGTAAAAACAAGGTAACAGGTAGCGCAATAAATTTGCAATTAATTTTAGCAGATATTATGTCATAATTTTGGTCGATCTTTTGGGCATGTGATTTGAAGATCCAGCTTGGAATCATAGCAGTGACCTGATAGTGTCCTGGAACTGTTATGAAGCTGGTGAGGAATTGGCAGGAAGCTAGAGTAGTTCTATTAATTCGCTAGTTTCAGACCACTTATATTGCCAGCTTAGATATTAAGTTCTTATGTCTAAAGATCTGGCCGAAATTGTGGAATAGTGTTGGTTGAAATTAAGCAAAAATAGACTGCATCACAGTCACGTGATACTGTTCTAGACCAGAACACCCTTTCATAGTTGCTAACGATCAGCTAAAAAAATTTGGCCAGAAATTATAATATAGTGTTGACCAAAATGATAAACTAGTTACATGCTAGTAACTAGCACTTTTCCAACACTTTCTCGTTACTTTCTCACAACTTTTGTGTGACTTTTAAGAAATTGTATTCAGCCTATTTGATTACTAGGATTGGGTATATGATTTTGGAAATTAGGGCCGATATCAATTTTACATCCTAAAGTTTGTGTATATCTTAGCTGACCCATTTGATTACCAAAAATGTGTCATTATCTTGCAAGCTAACTATTGCCTATTTGTTACCAGCATATTGGCGGGATATTATAAGCACTTCTGAAGTTTGATCATAGTTTAAACTGGGTTAAGGCAATGAGTATACTAATTTTTTGAGCGTTTCTATGAAAATTTTCTGTCTCTATAAGAAAATTTATGAGGATGCTCATAAGGATAATCATAATATTATTTTTGGGCTTCTTAGCTTGATTTATAGAGTTTTTTATTACCCGTCCCTATGTCCCTATGAGTTCTTATGAAAAGGAAAAGTAAAAATTCTAGGAAAAAAGAAATTTGATTTTTCTATGATATTTTTATGTGTAAATATAGTCATTATACAGTTGATATAGTTAGTATATGATCGATATATAGTATAAAAAAAATAAAAAGAGGTAAAGAGTTCGAAAATTCATAGGGACTCATAGGGTCATAAGGACAAGTAGTAAAAACGCCTTCTGAGAGTTTTAAATTTGCCAGTTTGCTATACTAATGCGTTCTTGTTAAGTTTTTTACTGTTTCTATAAATTTTTCATGAGCCAAATTTTGATAAATCATTAGGGCCAACTATTGCCTATTTGTTGCCAGCATATTAGCAGGATGTTATAAGCACTTTCAAAGCCTAATTATGATTTAAACTGGATTAAGGCAATAAGTATACTAATTTTTTGAGATAAATTTTGTTCCAAAAATCTGTCCTAAGGCAGAAATTTTACTGGACTACTTTCTAAGGCAGAGTTTGTTATAGGAGAAAGTGTTCTTTTATCAATTCAACTTGTTCTTGTATTATCTTCCCTAGATGCCTTAGGTGACCTAGTAAAAATAAAGTTCTAGGAAAAAAAAATCAAATTTTTCTATACTATCTTTTGGTATATATATTGGTATGCTATATATATGTTATATATATGCTATATTTTTGCTATACCCTTAAAAAATAAAAATAAAAAGTAAAGAAATCTGATTTTTTCTAGACCACCTAAGACACCTAAAGCAGACTATTCAAGAAACTATTTTAGCATTCTAATAAAGTTAATTTGCTATTTTGTTTCTGCCTCTGAAAGCTGAAAATTTTCTAGGGCAGATTTTCCTAAGGCAGATTTTTCTAAGGCATCTAGCTTTTTTCTATGGTAATATATTTTCGAATAATACTTATCTACATGTAAATTACATATCCTGTACTTTGACGTAATGGGTTTTTCACACTGCCTGCAAAGGTTTCGCTAATGTCTTTTCCAATGGATTTTACATCTTTCTTGCCAATAATAAACCTATCCACACATGTTCTCTTCGTTAGAAAGATATTGACAGATAAATTCACCTCTCATTTGGTATCTCTTAAATTTCTATAATTATTTTTTATTTAAACTTTTTTCCCAAAACAGTATATCCTGAATTTAGGATATATTATACCTTTCAAAATTTTTACTATGATCGAACTTTCAGAGTTTCTCAATGCTTCCGCCTCACATTTTCATCCAAAGGCTGAAAAAGATAAAATAGAAGGCCAGGTAATTCGCTATTCCAGCAAAAAATACTTGACCGGCATTCCAACTCGAAATAATATAGTTGCAGAAAATAATGAGGGATTAACCGCAATTCTTGATAATGCTCTATCCAGTCATCAAGAAATTCCATTTATAGTCATTGATAATGAAGGGTCATCAGAAAAAATAAATGGAAAGTACCGCTATGTATTACGTCTCTATGGCTCTCTTATTAATAACCAAAAAGTGATGGTAACACTTTCTGGTATTCCTATATTCTTTGATATTCTTGTACCAGACGGGAAGTGTCTGGATGAATGTGAAACAAAAGTAAGAGATATTCTCTTCAGTGAGGTGGAGACTTTAAAAATAGAGCATATTAAAGCTTTTCCTTTTCAAGGTTATTATACAGAAAAAAAGTCATATTTATGAATTTATATGAGTAGTATTGGTAAAAGAAAAACAGCTATTAAAGCCATTTAAGAAAATAACTTCAAAACTGCATCTAATGATTTATACTCATTTCATCAAAAGGTGGCTCAAGAAAATGGAATCCAACTCTCTGGATTGTCTATGTTAAGTAAATATATACATAAAAAAGGAATCAATCCTCTCTGCCCACATATATACTATACTTCTAAAATATATTTTTAGCCAGTGGAAGATTTTACAACAATAAGTGACTGATTCCCTATTCCAGCTCACTTACGGGATCGCACTCTTGTCCTCATATAGGATATAGAGACGCAATCTTGAGAGTTAGGTGAATTTGCTGAAGTTCTCGATCTGAATCAAAATGTTTTTATGATTTGTATGACTTTATACTGGAAGGATGATCTGAAGCCATTAAAATTGATTTGCCTTGTAAACGTTGAGATAGAACCAAATTCGCGATGGATTATAATCATTTGCGGAAATCAAGTAAATCTGCTAAAAGCTTTTGCCTTCTGTTGACGAGCATTTGCTTCTGACATTCAAGTTGGGTTTAATAATTCAGACTATGATTGGCGTTTTATTATGGAGAGAGCATATCACCTTAACATACTCGAATGAATATGGGAGCAAATGACAGGAAAGTTTGAAATAAAGGAAGAAATTATAAAGTGGAAATATCATGAAAAGATAGAAGCGAAATCTGAGAATGCTTTAAGGCAAAGTTTGCTGTCAAGCCTTCTGAGAAAGGTGAGGAGGATCCGAAGGAGAAAGAATATATGGCGGTCCAATTAAGATAAAAATTAGTGCAGAGGAGGATTTTACTTCTAGCTTCCTTAAACTACTAAGTTGCATACTGATGATATCTGGGTATGTCTCAAAAAATGTTTCCCTCATTCTGAAGTCGAAAAGGAAGGCTCACTTAAATACTTCTTACAAAAGTGTAATCTTGACAGTAAGGCTGACATGCCATATGATAAAATGTGGAAAATCTATTTAGAGGCGAAAAAAAGCTCCTTCTCATCAACTGCAAGAAAAATGTGTGAAATAGCTAACTATTGCATTATAAATGCATTGCGTTGTCAGGAGCTATTAATAAAACTAAGTGTAATTAATGATTATAGAGAAGTTGCTTCTATAGCTTATGTATCCCTTTCCAACACACACTATTACGTAAATAGAATGAAGGTACGAAACCTTCTGGGTGCTTATGCTATTAAACGAAATATAGTTTTTAGCACAAGGGTATGTGAAAATATAGAAAAAGGAAAATATCCTGATGCATACGTTTTTTTCGCCTGAAAAGGATATCGAGACGAAAAGGCCAGTAATTGATCTAGATTTTGCATTATTATATTCAGGGTTAGAAAGTACAGTGTTAATACAATGATTAGTACAGTTAGTACAGTTAGTACATTATAATAATTAATATAAAAATTAGTACAAGTACAGTACAAGTACAGTGGTAATTTTATCTAGTACATACAAAATTCCCAATTCTGATTATATTCTAGCCTTATCATGACATATAACCTCTTTCCGGAAAAATTTATATTAAGTTCAAAGGATACTAACATTGCACAAAAAAATGAGAATACCCTATATGAGATTAGCTTTCTATTCAATAAGCGTGACATCTATGCTTGGTGTATAAGGTATGATAATTGATTGGAGAAGAAGGGCTTATACCCCATCGTATTAGAGGATTTGTTTAACAAAAGAGTGGAGCTTAAAACACGACTGGTCTCATTAGGAAAGAAAAAAGAACAACTTGGGAAGTTGATAAGTTCGGCTAAAGAGAAAGGCAAAAGGATTTCAGAAAGCTTAAATTTAAAATATTCATTCATATGCTTCGATCATGATTATCAAGATTCGAAGCAAAGAGCTTTGAAGGTATATATGAACACTTTTTATGGGAAAGCAGGAAACTCACTATCTCCAATCTTTCTTCGCAAATTGCTGGAGAAACTACTTCAACAGGAAAATTTAGCCTTAATCTTATCGCAGAATTCGTGACAAAAAAAGGGTTTAGGATAAAGATGGTACAGCAATTGATTTCAAATTTACAAAATGTTACAATATAAGCTAAAATTAGTTGCAATATATATAGGTTAAAACTAATTACAATGTAAGTTGCAACATTAAAAGTTGCAACATATTAATTACAGTTCCTATCTTTAGTTTAGGATAAAATATGGAGATACTGATTCTTTGTATCTCATCTGCCCAGATAAGTATTATAAAAAATCTGATAAAGCCTTCTCCAGAAAAGAACTTTCTAAACAAGCGTACTAGACTGAAATGGTCAAAATTACTATGAATGTGATGAGAAAATTACGCGATCAAGTAAACGCTTATCTTAGGATAAAAAGTGAGACATCTTATCTAAATATGGCATACTAAGAGGTATTATTTCCTGTCTGCTTTACTGGTAAAAAGAAGTATTTTGCATTAGTCATAAAGAAGTAGTAAGCTTTAAACTGAAAAAACTTTTTATGAAAAGGATAGATACTGTAAAGCAAGGTAAACCCCAGCTTCTCAAATTCATCAAAGAGAAGATTATGAGAGAGGCAGAAAGGAGCCACATAGAGTTGGCAATTTTATGGAGTATGTGGACATCGCAAAAGAGTAAAACATGGAAATAGATATCAATTATTATTTAGGAACAACAACAGCAATGTACATATGTTTTATTAATGAAAATAATAGTTATCAACCGCTTCTATTAGATAGAATAATGCAGATTAAGGATTCAGATAAAAGGGAAAACAGATTGATATCTATTCCCAAAAAAAGTAAAAAACTACCTTGAAAAATATATAAAAAACTTATGATAGACTTTCTAGGTTCTCTTAGTGAGATGTGGCAATTTCAGCTAAGAAATTTAGTTGTAAGGCACTTCGTATAATATTATTTATATATTTTTTCTCGTGCAATAATACTGGTTAACTTCAATTTCTATATTCAATCTTCCAGCCTCCAATCATATAGCTCAACCTCAGAAATACCTAGAAATGATAAAAAATAATTCCAGTTATAAGAATATTCAGTATTACTTTTTTTCCATGAATTCCATATTTTTTTTCCAACGAGCTATATATAGTGAACTCTTGATATAACAAATTCTAAGATCTGAATATCAACTTCGTTATAAGCTTATAAAGAATTTTTTAAAGAATTTAATTGGCTAGTTCACTATAGTAAGGTAATTTTAATATATTTGATTTAAAAATTCGCTATATTAAGGGTTCACTATATTAAGGTTTGACTGTAATTACAATAAGTAGTAAGGCAAGTATGGAATATATTATCAACGGTGACATCAAGGAGCTTGTGACGATAGGAGCAGTTGCTGGTAAAGATACTGCTTCTGCGCTATCAGATTGCTTTGCAATCTCTTCTCTCGAAATATACTTTTCAAAATATGCTGATCGACTATGAACGGATTGATTGAGTAGGATATCTGTCTGGCTTCTCGAAACTATCTCATCCTAGGATAATAGCTCTTGCAAAGCCTCTAATATATTTTCTCTAACAAAACTTTTATCGAGTTCTATAATTTTATCTTCAAGACCACGCTTATAGACGAGAGGTCTTAAATTGTCACTGACCCAACCTGGTAGCTTTTGCGATGAATCGTTCATAGGTAGAAGTGGGGGTTAGAGATATCTACTATTTCATTATCTTTCTTTGAGATTATCTCTTGAAGATGAGAATTTTCTCCTGTTAAATTTAATTGTGCTGAAGACAAAGCATCTATTTCCCAACTGGTTATCTCATGTGTCACATGTATCCCTTTTTCTATATATTCTATTTCATATTTTTTTGAATTAAGGTTCCCATTCGTTTATTCCAATTCAAGCTCTTTGTCTTCTAATATATCTTTCAATTCACGTATTTTAGCTTCAAGAGAAAGAATTGTGAATTTGTCATGAGATAAAGCTTTCTGAGCCAAAGTTACCTCTCTCTTTAGTGTTTTAATATTTGATTTGAGAGATTTTATTTCAGTAGTATATTTGGCTTCAAGCTCATGTTGGCTTTCAGAATGAGACTTCTGTTTGGGATCTAACTTTAATATTAGATGCATTTAACTGGCTAATCTTATTTCCAATATCAGCATAAGTTCGCTGATATTCCTTTTCCTGCTTATTATATTTATCAACTAGCTTTTCGCTGAGATCATTAATCTTAGAGTTAAATTCGATAACAGATCTTATTTTTTTGAGCTCTTGCTCATATGCACTACCTAGCTGATATTCCTTTTTATTGATATCTTTCAGTATGTGTATATTAGACATAATCTTAGCATGATTATATAGAAAGAAAAAAATGTTCGAATAAAATTTAGCCTTCATAATAACCAGCGTTCTTCAATAATGAATATTGCTTTTTATCATTCTTTACCATTTTAAAAGAATAAATAACGTTTTTTATCATTTTTTATCATTTTAAAATATTGCTAAAAATACTGGAGGATTAATGCCTACCCAATTTTTAAAAACTCATTATCAACGAGATGCCAGTATTTTAACGCCAGAGTAGATCAAAGAAATCAGATGCCTTAAAAATAAGGTTTCTGCGTATATGATAGTAAAGGATTACTATATCAATAAAAATTGCGTCTCTGATATATGAGATAATAATGAATGTCTGCAACAAAGTGGAAATATGTATTAGCTGATATGCTTTCAGCCTCAGCGAAACTGATAGCAAGAAAAAAGACTGGAGGGACTAATCTGAAAGAAAAATTCAGATTCAAGTCTGTTCGTATTTCTGAACCATCCATCTCTTAGATGTCACCATTAGAACTGATTCAACTAATCTCTGTGAATTTAGAAAGTTCAGATATAAATAAAGAGGAATTATGTGCATTGCATGAGAAAATATCTGAAAGAAGCATAAAAAATATAGCGAAAATGAAGAATTTATTAGAAGAAAACTCGCCTATTTCCTAAGAAGTTTGTCATAGCATATTTGTAGTCTTTCACAATACTCATTGATTTCTGCGTTATACTTGAGAGTAGTATATAGTATTTTTTTCAAGCTTCTCGTAACACACTTTTTTTAATACATCATCATTCTCAATTAATTCCTGTGAGTCCTGAAAAACTTTATCCAGAGCTGGTAGATCATCACATTCAGATGTAATGTTCACACAATTCACCTTGAGCTTGTTCTTAATCTTATGCATAGTGACTAGAATAGTAAAATCCTTTCCATTATGGTGGAGCTTTAACTCATCTTTGTCTCAATCAATTGCGCATCTGTATTTCTTGAGAAGAGAATTAGAAAATATTAGCATTGGCTTAGAGTACTTTACAACCAGAAAATCTTTGTAAATGGTACAACCTGGAGTCAAGGTTATTGGTAAATCATGAACAACTCCAACAGATACAATCGGAAGAGTAGTAATATTACTAAGATCATATTTTATAGATTTATTGATCCTATACCCTACACATTTAATAATATCTGGTGTTACAATAAGAAGTTCAACACAAGAATCCAATGTCATAGCTGAGATTTTAAGATGCTTAATCTTACATTTTATAGTTGCAATACTTGTAGTAGGTTCCTTCTTTTGGACGAAATCTATCTCTATAGAACCATCTAAAATATCTTCTCATTTGAATCTTGAGCTGAAACAGGCTCACTTTTTTTAGCTTGTATAGGAGATAATTCACAAATTCACTCTGAATAATTTTACGAATGGTTTCTTCTAAAGACAACCACCTAGTACCTTGATTATCTTTTTCTGATGAGATATTACAGGTAAATGGTGAATTATTATCCTGATTTACCTTATAAGGCTTGGATCCATTATTAATTTTAGAGTTTGAAGACTTATTAGAATGACCACTAGGGTTCCGTAAAATCGAATCGAATCAAATCAAATATTTGATCGAATCAAATCAAATCAAATCAAATATTTGACGAATCAAATATAATATTTGATGAATCAAATCAAATCAAATCAACCAAACTGAGTCAAATGAATTAAATATATATATATATATTTTTAAGACGTGGTGAAGCATTTAAATATAAATTAAAGAAAATCACAAAATGGGTACATAAGTATAAAATAAAGTAAATGCTACCTAGCCTTCGTCAAAGGCATATTGCCTTTTCTAACCAAACCAACCGGTCATTCAATTCAAAAAAATTAATTAATTCACATTATAAAAATTTTTTGTTAAATTTTTTTATATTTTTATTTTTATATTTAATAACATTTACACAATTGTAACTTTAAATTTTTTTTTAAAAAGAAAAAGCACTATTATTCCAATACTCTTTTT